GCAAACCCGTTATATATAATTAACATCTCCCCAATGCAAAAAAAAAATACATCTTGAAAATACATTTGTGTACACCTGCAGTATTGCACTGGTCAAGTAATGTACCCGGAACAAATTAATGTACATGTAACTAGGCTTACACGTACATGTACATATATGTATATTAATGTGCTTACTGACAGATTCCATGCTGTTCGTGGTGTCGATGTTGGGGGTTTAGTGAGGTTTCAGGAAAAATAGAATAACTGTATGTGAAAAGAATTTTGACTGTATTTGTTATTTTGTATAATAATACATGTACAGTGTAAATGCAAGAAAACAAACTGTTCATGAAAAACCATTTTTTCAAGTCATATATTACATAAGTACCGGTAAATGCCCTTGTTTATTTGCAGGAGAATCAGGGAGTTTTTCACCTATGCGCAATTTGTGGAAAAAGTAATCATTGTCGGATGTGACTGGGAAAATCACAAGTTATGAAAAAAAATCAGTTTTATTAGCAAAGTGTACCGTTACATACAGTATTGTTCTAGTACCGGTACATGTCCAGTGAACAAATGAATGTCTCAGTGTAAAGACAGAGTTGAGGGGATGGGTAAATGCGGGTCATTCCAGAAATTAGGGGTCCATTTTTTGTGCCCCCTGCCTTTGAGATTATATTATAGAATGCTTTTGTCAACATTTTACTAATTTGTTGCCATGGTGACCATCACCGGTACCTTCAGCATGCCTTGGCGTTGGCCTTGAAGTGCAGCGAACGTTCATTAATTATTGATTTGGCTTGACTGTTTTAAGATGAGCCATGTTGTGTAAAATGTCATAAATTCTGTAGCACCAACTGCAGTCCAAGGCAATGTACATGTACAGTGTTAATGGCCTACATGTATATGTACATCCTATGATCTGATAGGAAATGTAATGAATAGGTAATGGGAATGTGCAATTAGTTTCAAATGTCAGCTAGGCACTTTCAAAGGATGCTGCACTTGTTCATTGAACTGGCATATATGTGAAGTATCAATATATGGAATACATGTACATGTATGTATTGTACACATACATGTACACTGTACATGTATATATTATGCATTTCCCTTACATGTACATGTATGAATATTGTATACCGGTAGGATGCATTCTTGAAGCAAATTGTAAGTCCAGTCAAGTGGAGCAATACATGCACGCTGTGCCGATACTTTGCATCGGTGTACAGTGAACACGCTCGGTACATGTAAATGTATGTATACACCAGTAGATTTACGTATACCGGTACATAATACGAGTACATGTACAAACATGCTTTTTCCTGAAAAGAGCAATTACAGTGCATTCTCGATTAGTGGTAAAAAAGCCACTAAGAGATCACAAGCTTGCGTGGATGGGATCTGAATAGTAAACTTGTCAATTACCGTGGTTACTGGTATGATACAGTAGATGTACATGAAATCAGTGTAGTGGCGCAAACTTAGCAAAACCCTAACATTCCCGGCGCAACGTCAAATTAATATCACTGACTTTGTGTACAGTACACGCATGTACCAGTGTAGCACTTCTGATACTTGCAGCTGTACTGTGTACATCAGATTTGAGACAGACTCCTGATGTATGTACATTTACCACACTGTACCGGTATGTACATGTACATTGTATACTCGGTGGTCGAGTAATCAAGACATCTGCACTAGTAATAAGCAGGAAGTCATGGGTTCACTTTGTGGTTATTTTACAACTCACAGACCACGCTGAGAATAAACTGGAAATGAGTGTAAAATTAACATGGCGGACTCAAAGCCAATCCATTTCGGTTCTGGACACATGCATGTGTATATGCATACATACAGTATGTGTACACTGGTATGTTGTAAGATTACTTTAATTAGATTTGCATCTAAGGAAATGAAGCTTTAATGAAGGGATACACTGTATTCCTTTCTATTCAACTCCAGGGGGCTTTCAAGTGGGCCACGAAAAACCGCCACCGGTGGTCCACCCGAAGAACGGTCCGGGCGAAATGGGCAAAGCTGTGGTCATCTCGCCGGAACTGGAAGAAAAGAAGAAAGAGATGTTTAAAATTAACCAATTCAACCTTCTGGCCAGCGACATGGTGTCAGTCAACAGATCCCTACCAGATGTCCGAATGGAAGGGTGAGGCATTTCCCACTTCACAAAGTAAAGGGGTCATGATAGGAAGTGTACTTTGTTACATCAGTTTTAAAGCTCTGTTTCCTCCTCTTAAGTGTAATTAATCTGACGTGTCCTTTCACTCACTCTTGCAAATTGAAAAGTGCACTTTGCAAAATAATTTACAATTTCATGGGGGGTGCTGTTGCTGTGAGGTCATTACAGAAGTATTAGGGATTTTCAGTTCATATTGTGAACGGGTACATCTGCTTGGAAATCTTTTTGTGAGAAAACTTTGCTCTCTTACGTATGCACTGATATGATGTAAGAATTGAAAATGTAAAGTTATGGCCAAAAATATCATGGTGTCACACCTTTGGTCACAAGTGGCATTAGCATCAAGGCCAAAGCACCTCCACAAAATCTTGTAAAATAGCATCACAAAAGTTTAAAAATGGATTAAAGTGGACTCAATGCAGTCTTACCAGGGGTGAGATTTCTCAGCTTTTTAGCTGATTTCAGCTTTCTTGTTTTGGATTTCAGCTTTTTTTTCCCACACTGGCTGTGTACAAAAGTATAGGAGATTTTCACAGTTCAGCTTCTTTATGCCTTTTTCAGCTGTTTTCAGTTAGTTTTTGTCGTTGGCCAATCTCACCCCTGTTTTACCATACATGTGTATAATCTGAATACATTGTGTGAGCCCTTTAAAAACACTGACTCCCTTCACATGTGTACATCCCTGGCTACACAGAACCTCCCACAGTTCTCCAATATCCACCTCAGTTTGTAAAACCTGCCCTTCTCAATCCAGCCAAATCCTCCTAAAGCCTTGCGGCTTTTAATGGATGTAATTCTAGTTTTGCGTTTTGCAATTCGTACACAGAAATTTTTACGCTATCTGTGAACATGTACATGTAACTACCGGGTAGTAGCAATTGCTCACATTTACTTGTACACTATTCACATACATGTTCTGTACATGCAGTCTGTCCACATGTACATGTATGGTATTTAGTAAGCTCTACCCTTTGGCAAGGTTTGATCAGAGCTTCATGTGTTTGAGAGAGAGAAGAAAAGTAGGGCAGATTGTCTGCCTCTTTCATGTTTCTTGTCCAGTGCAAAACTGGCTGGGTCAAATAGCTGCTGTCGAGTTCATCGCTCAGGATGGTATTGATCTGGGAGAGCAGTCTGGCGCTTAAAATTCAGCTCATTGTCAAGTCAAAATGTCCAAGAGTAGGGATCCCTTGGTTTCGAATACCATTGAACGGGAATAATTCAGAGTACTGTGCATCACTGATGGGGAGCCTTTGCTTGGAAGGGGCTACGACCTTTCAACTGCACTGTCGACATTAATGTATTGTGCTTATTTTCCTGGGGTTTCCATTGTTCATTGCTGGCATACAGTGTACAGGTACCGGGTTTCTATTTGCTCCACTACCCACACACTCATTCATGACACCGTGTACACTGTACATTCATACATGTATATATTTGGAAGGAGGTGGAAATAAACTCATTGTTTTCTATAACACAAAAAGACCCTCTTCCCTATAAATGTCACGTATCCAAGGGCAAATTTATGTAAAATTCCCTAAATCTTCGTAAAGAGGAAGTTTCAGTTCAGACTTGGATTTCTTTCCACAAGTTATTGCTAATATTGTTAACCCCTTAATGGTGACCCAGATGTGTGCTTTAAAAGCTGATACATGACCTTTACGGAGTTAAAACAGAAGGATAGTTTATGAGGCTGTGGTGTTTTTTTTCGGTGGGCTGTGGTGTTTTTTCGGTGAACTAAGGATGCCAAAATCCTGACCGGAAGTATATGTACCCCTAACTTATTGATTTTTCTCCCTCCGGCAGGTGCAAAACAAAAGTGTACCCTCCAAACAGTGTCCTACCAAAGACAAGCGTCGTCATTGTGTTCCACAACGAGGCTTGGAGCACGCTACTGCGCTCGGTCCACAGCATCATCAACCGGTCGCCTTGGGAACTACTCGAGGAGATCATCCTGGTGGATGATGCAAGCGAAAGAGGTACAGTATTTGTGTGTACCGATTGGAGGGAAAGACAGCTGGATGGGCAGGGTCAGGAAAAAGTGGAGGAGAGGCCCTTCAGTAGCAGACAAACTGATTTCTTCATTTTTATAACTATGGTACCAACTTCCACGTAACGGTGCATGTACATTACATGTACGTGTACGATGCGTACATTTATGCATGCACCCGCAAACCCCTTGTTAATCACAGTGTAATTCTATGTCAGTTTTAGGTATTGCTTTGAACAAACCCCATACATTACTGACCCTAACAGTCTTCAATCCTTTGCCTGTTGGAGGATGAGAGACTGTTTGGGTGAAGCACAAGCCCCGCAAGCCCCTTGGGCAGAGGAGGGATTGTCTTCAGCAGGAGTATTAAGCAGCTCTTGTGTCACAGTGCAGTCCAGATTGCCCATCTTCGGCATCTGAAAGAAAAACGTTAACAAACTATTGAAAAGGAAAAGAAAGAAAAATTTTCCTTTGGTTTAAATGGAAGAAAATTGCACCATGGAGGCTTGTTTCAAGCAGATTCAAATGAAAAGCATCAGAAATCCTACAACGGGTTTAAAAGGTAAAAGGTAAATTATTATTATTGCGTGGTCCATCCATTAATGTTTCAAAACCAGTGAGTTTTTAGTGGCTTGTCTCACCTACAAGTGCTGGATCGTGTCGGGCTTTGTCTTTTGTATGATTGCCTTAATGGAAAAGGGGAAAACAAAAAAATCCACCGTGTCTCAGATAATAGCTGGCTAAACTTGTCAGGATTACTCCCAGAATAACAGTAGACTGACCGCCATTGTGCCTGTCAACATGAAGGTACTCATGTCCTAGCACTATACGTAAACCACTGGATGCCCACAGTGCTACTGGTTACATTTGCCGGTTGGGGTGAGATTTGCCAAATTTTTTTTTCCTAATTCTTTTTTTTTTTTCCTCTCAGAATATCCCTGTTCCAGGATTTTTCGGACCAAGTCTTTTTAAGTCTGGAAAGATCCTGTGTTTATCATTAAGATGTTTGGACATACATGTACCGGCACCAGTATGTGTAAAAATTGCTGTACTTGTAGAACTCAAGAAATAGGTATTTGTAGGGATGCCTTTTGGCAAATTAGACCCAACGCTGCTGTGTGGGGCCCTCCAAACCTCTGGTTATTTTGTTTTCCGCTGATGTCTCTTCTGACTGGTACATACATTCTGACTGTACATGTACGTAGTTGTACTTATATGTACATGTACGTGTGTGAGTACATGTAGCTTTCTAATCCACACGGGTCATGTTCATTGTCAAGGTCGTATGAAGTGCTTCTTATATTCTAGGCACCAGGATGTAATTCCACTCAGTCATAGACATGGCATCAAGTGCTAGGGGCCTACATGTACAGCCTGCTAATAACAGGCATCCAAGTTTTCCTCAGAACAGCTGATTTCCTCATTTTTCACTTTGCGCACTCATGCCATTGCAAAATGAAAAGCACTATAGTACATGTACATGTACAAAGTCTTGTAAAGATTAGAATTTCCTCCTGTTTTTGTCAAAAGTAATTGCATGCCTGTAATAAGTTTTACTTTATTTATTTATTTATTTTGTTTCCATAATCAAAAGCGAACAAATCAGCATTTCCAGGTTAGGTACTAATAATATACATTTAATTTAAATCTTTTCCCCTAAATTAAAAATTCAGAGATCTTCTCCATGGTATTGTCATAGGGCCACATTTTTTTGTAGGCCTCTGAATTATTTGTAGGCTTAAGGCGCAGTGCCTTCTGTATGCATTTGGCAGTCCGGTCATGTCCATGGCATCTTTGATTGAGAATGCTCTACAGCGCTGGGTACATTTGTACACTACATGTACAGTGTATGTACCACTCTACATCTGCTCATCTGCCCTCATGTACCGGTGCCGTTCATATTGTCACATCAGCAGTGGTGGAATCATTTTCATAAGGTGTGTTTCTATTGGACTTTTTCTCCTGCTGCCACGCTGAAACTTACTGCAACATTTCTTCTTGTCATTCCAGTCTACTTCACATTCCCACTTTAACTTTTTTAACTGTAACAGAAGGTTTATTCGCTGTGCAAGACAAGCTGAATGTCACGTTGCAAGCTTTGTGCAAATCACCTTGGAACCAAGTGGGATATGACAAAATCAGCAAAATCTGGCAAATTTGGCCAAATCTGTCACCTTTGAACTGGCGATTGATCATTTATGCACATACATGCATATGAGTATATAGCTTTCTCCTGGTATGCTTGACCCTAACAGTCCTCAGTCCTCCAACAGGTGAAGGATTGAGGACTGTTATGTGCGCACCATTTGCTGGTATGCTGCATCATATGCTGGCGATCTGTACACAAGGAGACCGAGAAGTACACAATAACCTACTGTTGATCTCCATGTAGCAGTGAGCTTTCCTGTTCAGAGGTTTACAGTATGGTGGCAGTACATGCACATGCAAATCTACATGGCCTGTTCCCATTGGACATGCCCCTGCTGCCTTACCGTTGCTGCGCAAAAATCTTCCACGACCCTTTCCGGCCTGGTAATTTTACATCACAATCGCGGTAAGCAGACAAAGACGTCAGTTTACTGCGTGCCCCCATTGGATTTAATGTTGTCGTTCTACAGGAGAGTCATGGTAATTAAGTTAACCGAAAAAGGTTCGATGAAAACATGGCTAAAGTGGGGGGGGGGCAGTTAAGAGAGTGGCAGGCATCAGCCATTAATCCCCAATCCAAGCGAGGACCTGCAAAAGGGGGAGTCCCCTGTCTTAAAAAAATGGGGGGGGGTTCCCCACTGCCAGTGACTCACATTAAATTGAAACAATGAGATGTACCGGTATATCTGTATGTACATGTACACTTGTACAGTGTACTGTACAGATGATGAGATCCGTGTAAATTTCAGTTGATGCATTTTAAAAAAACCTCCACTATATGTACAGTGAAAGGAAGAAAGGGAATTTAATCTCCCAATTCTCAATGTATTTTCACACGGACTACCTGGTAGGGTACTTTTGAGTATAACTATTTCCACAAGCTCTATTCCTGTCCTAAGGAATACCCACATGTTCATGTACACGTATCTCTCCACTCTGTTTTGGTACATGTGTTATTTGGGGAGTGGCTCTGAACAGAAAGCTTTTAGCGATATATGGGATGCTGTGGATGTTGTACACTGTAGGTACTTGTATGTGCATGTACATGTACATTGTACTTACTCTGTCTAGCTCTGTCATCCATCATGCTGGCAAATGAACCCTGGGGACATGGTGATGAAAAGGCCACATGTCCAAATTGGTTTTGTTAATAGTCCCGCAAATGCATTATCTTGACAGTTGTCAAGAGTGTCACAGCCACACACATGACACAGACTTGCTACTGGATAAGTTTATTTAGCTTCCAGGCTGTGTTTGTCCATGGAAGCTTCATGTGTTGGTCATGTGTTTTGGGATTTTTTAAGTGCTGTAGTTTTTGTGTTTTTTGTGTAGTGCGGGTACACCTCCATCACCACAGAAATCTGGAAAACATTTCCATGTTTTTTCAGACTTACAAACTTGTACATACTCTTTGCCAGTACAGAAAAGAGTGTTTATAGGAGTCCGTTCTGTGAAAGATTTGGGAGGGTCATTGAAATGTGGTCATGCCATTTCGGATATTTGGCAGTGTGTTCTTTAATATTTATGGACAGCAGAAAATTGCAAGAATTGTACAGATGTTAGAAAATTTGCCATTTGGACGAATGTACAAAAACTTGAAAAGATGCACTCAACATACAGGGTACATACAGAATGGAGACATTGTACAAAAGAACAGTACATGTGCCGTATGAATGTAAAATGTGCTCTTCAGTACATGTACATTCTCATGTAACTACATGTATACTGTGCCGTACTTAAATTAGAAAATGAAAACTTTAAAAATTGTGGGGAAGTTCTAGTGGTAAATTCTTCCGCATGACAGAGGCTTTACATTATGTAAAGCATTATGTAGCTTGAATAACAGCCAGTATTCTTTAATTTGTGATGTACATACATGTACATGTACAACACTGCATATGAGTACACATGTACATGCATGATACAGTAGACATGCTAAATGTACAGTACACTTTCCTTGTCACCCTGTACATGTACTTTATGCATGTGCTAAATGCTGCCATTGGAGTGGAGAAACTTTGATCTCAAGTGAGACTAACCAATGACATCCTGATCAACAGTGGAGATGTCCCAACCACGACGAATCCCATTTTTCTGTATTGCCCCGTACCTGCTGTCATCCAGCCGATGAGGTCCCTTGCAGGTTTTCCACTGAAATATTTGTCACAACTAAATGTACAGTACGCGTAGTTGGCGCTCTTACTTAACCCAAGTCCGCACATACAGGTAGGTACGGTACACGTGCGTGTTTATCACAAGAGGGTGAAAATTGCCCAATGCACTGCTCTGGCAGCTAGTGAAAAAGCAATACCTGGCCCGCTACAACATACAGTATATGTTATGCCTAATTTAGGGCCTACGATGTGCATTGACTCGACTATACAGGACTGAACTGGCTGCACAGCAATGCGAGTATTAATGATCGGGGTTGGGATTTATTGCTCTAGTGCGGTAGGTGAAAGTATGCATTAAATCATATTGTATTCAAGGCGTGACATTTATGAGCGGAATTTCTCCCCCCCCCACTCTCCCCTTTCCCAGCAGAGTGATTATCGTAGACCTTGCATTGAAACAAATTGCTCAAAACTTTGCCTTCTGGTAAATGAAAATCAGGATAGATGTGTCGGCTACATTGTAATCATGGCAAACAAAAATATTAAAAGGAAAAAGTTGCATACATGTACACATGTACATGTACCAGTATACAGTGTGCACTGCATTTATGCACTGGCACGTCAGGTGTACATGTACACATGTTTTTTGTCCAATACATATGTATCTAATCTGACTGAGAGCAATGAAATTTATTAGCAAGTTATTAACAATATACATGTACATGTGTGTTTACTGTATGCACTGATGTATGAAATGATATGCAGTGCACTGGCATTTAGGCCTAAGCAAGTTGTAGAAAAACACGTACATGTAGGTTCATTGATCACTCAGAGAGGGAAGTTGTCAATGACAAAAGTGTTGTCTGACGAGTTTGTTACGTGTGGTGAATCAGTTTGATTTCTGACTAATCAATTTGATGTCACGTGGAATTGAAGGCTCATATACAGTAGAATTAACCCTAATCCTCTCAGATCCTCAAAATCTGTCAGGCGGGTTTAAAAGATTTTTCAGGGTTCAGAGGAATGTTACTGGAACAGACATACTGTACGTGTACAACCTACATGTAAACCTGATCTGAGCTTCCAAACTCTGACCCGGCATGACTAAAATTAAACTAAAACTGACCGGAACCCACCCAAAACCGAATCATAGTGGACCGAAAAAATCCTCATATGTATACACATGGTACATTGTGGCTCAGACAAAGTGTCCCTGTTGTAGTATTTGGCCGCTTTTTGTGAACTCTTCCTCATTGCATGAAGTCTTTCGAAAAAATCATTGCAAGGACTCAAAAATTTATGTACATGTACATTTGCATGTTTATGTACATATATGTACATTGTACTGTACATGTACATACATGTACATGCAGTACTGGGCTTCGTGACTCTGCAATAATAATGTACCATGCGAACATCCAAACTCTTTGTATTTTGGGGGTCTATAAGGTTTTTACCCCATTAACTTTCTGAATGAACATGTAAATAATGTGTAAACTTCCAATCTTCATGTCAGTCATGTCAGCAATGAATCCTCGTCATTTCAATTCTGACATGCTTCGATGAGTGTCCAAGAATAAGCCTTTTACAAGTTAAATTTGATTAAAAGCTGGTACACTGAGTTATCTGATTGCACATAAACAAAACAATTTGAGTTCCCCAGACGAAAGACACTGTTGCTATACATGTACCTCGGGATTCAGGGCAAGCTAATTTGCATAGCAACCACCATCTCTGGAATGGACTGATTCATTTGTGGCTTTCTTATCCATTGAAAACACTGTATTATTGCAAGGCAACTCTTACGACAGTGTGTACAGGTACATGTAAACTACATGTATAAGCAAAAGCTTGCCTTGAATTACAAGGTACTTTGTACATGTACATGTATAATGCACCTGTACATGTCCCATACATGTACATGTCTTTAGTTCGGAGAATTCAAATTGCTACATGTATAGCACAATGTACATGTATGTCATACGTGAATTTAAAGAAGTCAGTGTACCAGATTTTATTCAAAATTAATTTGCAAAAGGCTTGTTGTTGGAAAACTTGTTGAAATTTCCCCAACTATTTCCCTTTTTTTCTGAAATGCTTGTACGGTAACTGACATTTCCTCTCTTGCTTTTCTCAACACAAATCTTGGACTGTTGAGAATGACCCACTAAACTGATGCTGTAATGTGTACACGTGTACGTATGGTACACATGTTCCTTCTCACAGCATAAACTGGTCAATCATGTTGTCAATATAAAGAGTTCAGATTCAGAAGCCAATAAATTCCAATTCTCCGAAAATCAGGACGACATCCAACTGAGTATTATTTTTTCTGAAAATAATTTCTGAAAGAATATGAATTGTATAGAGCTTTCAAGATTTGATGGAATGGTTAGTGTGTAGTACAGTCATGACAGAGTACATGTACCTTGTGCACAAGTACATGTACATGTAATTGGCTATAAGGCCGTTTTCCAATACTCAACTTTGTCTCTGTCTCAGGCTTCGTTCCCAAAACCAATCCGCGATTGTGGGCCTGAAGCATTTAAACTACATTGGATTACCGTAAATTTGCTTTTCATGCCTGAGGTTTTCTGAAAAGGCGAATAGTGGATTTATCTGTCATTACATTAAAAGGTTAGCATGAAAGTCCATGTTTCCCAATTGTCCACAGATTTCCTTGGGAAGGACCTGGAAAACTACATCAAGAAGCTTCCTGTGCGCACCCACGTGGAGCGAATGGGCAAACGCAGCGGCCTTATACGAGCCCGGCTACGAGGCGCATCCGTCGCCAAGGGGGAAGTCCTGACATTTCTGGATGCTCACATCGAGTGCACCGAGGGCTGGCTGGAGCCGTTGCTAGCTCGCATTCACAAAGATAGGTGGGTATAACTTTTTCAGTTACACTGGCGACTTTCAGTCAACAAAAGATTTTTCCAAAGATACCTACGTACATGTACTATACATGCACATGGAAGATTTTTGACTTGATTATTCTTGGCAACAGGTTATGCCCTTTTTTTTCTCATGAGCGTTTGTAAACCCAGAATCATGGCAGTCTATTTAAAGTTTATACAGATTCTTGACCAAAAATGAAACGCATTAAAAAAATGAAATGAACATACCCAGTATCTAAAACATAATCATTGGACAGTCTGCCTGTACATTTCTGAATAATTTTTCAACCATCTAGTTGTAATCATACATTGTGCTCAAGCAGTTTGGAAGATGCCTGCTGTCATTAAAATCACTCTGGGTTAGCCGCATTTTCTTTGGTATGAGATGAATGTCAATAACGGGTCGCTCTGCTTGGCAATTCCAAGGTGACCCCATTTCTTTCTTTTGCGTCAACATTATCGTTCTGGTGACTGGGTTTTAATCTAGTCCAGACGGTAATCTCATTTGGACCGGAGCCCCACAAACTGAGTATGTGTTGTACCTTACAAGGTTCTCTTTTTTTTTCCTCATTACCATTTATTATGGTTACGAGTTTCCTTATAAAAGACACAGAAGCAACTGCTTCTCGCATCTCCCTTTCTTTTCATGTTGCTTTTTTTCATAAACACTGCTCATTCTCAGTTGGCTGTAGATGGCACAGTGGAAAGCTGAACTGCATACTAGCCCAGTTTTGTTAGTTGCCAAGGCACTTGTAACGCTTCAAAGGACACAATCTTCAGTCAGTTAACCGTATCCTTGTGCGTTTGACGTGGTTGTTTTGGCTGACTAGTCAGTGTGTCAAACCAACACCGTGGCAACCGACATCACACTTTGTTACTGCCTTGAATGATTCATTTATTGTCTACGAATTTGTGACATCATTTTATTGAGCTCTTAACCTTTTACAGCATTAAAACTGATGATTGTCATTGTGCACTTTGTGTAGGGCAAGATTTGTTACAAGACTGCAAAGGAGCCGTGA